TGATCTTTGACGCCACGCCACGGACACGCCCATTGACGAAAACTTGCAAATAGCACAACTTTTCATCTTCAATGCCTTTAGAAGGCACAGCACAAATTTGAGGTCGGTCGGACTAAATCCCTAGGAGGAGTTCGTTAAAGTACGAAGTGTGTAAATCATCCAAAATTTGACGTAAAATTCAAAATGGCCGACTTCCTGTTGGGTTTAGGCTATGGCTCCAAGAGACTTTTTTGTGCGTCTGGACAAGATACACGTACCACAGAAAATTCGTGCACGTAGGTGAAACGTGCGGCGGGGGCTGCTTCGTTAAAGGTCACTTTCTGTTGCCAGCAGGTGGCGCTATGACTGTGGGTGAATGTCGGCATGTACATGTGTTCAGGGCGGGACTCTCATCCTACATGTACAGTTTGGTCCGGATGTGAGCATGTACACTGAAGTTACAACAACTTCCTGTTTCATAGCGAATCATCGACGCCACGGACACGCCCATTGACGAAAACGCGCAAATAGCACAACTTTTCATCGACAATGCCTTTCGAAGGCACAGCAGAAATTTGACGTCGATCCGACTAAATCCCTAGGAGGAGTTCGTTAAAGTACGAAGTGTGTAAATCATCCAAAAATGGCCGTAAAATTCAAAATGGCCGACTTCCTGTTGACTTTAGGCTATGGGTTCTTGAGGCTTTTTTGTGCGTCTTGATATGATACATGTCCCCAGAAAATTTCGTACATGTAGGTTGAACGTGAACGAGGGGCTAATTTTTTCCAATTTTCTAGGTGGCGCTAGCGAGTCATTTTGCAACGCCCATGTGCGAAACTTGTAGAATACGAAATTTTTCACCGGTTCTGACATGTTTGCAAATTTTGGTGAGTTTTCGAGAATGTTTAGGCCATGTCATTTGAGCCTACTTTGCAGAAAAAAGAAAAAAAAAAAAAATAAAAAAAAATTAAAGCTGCAAGCAGCGTTGGGCGGGCCCTCGCACTTGTAGCGCGTCCGCGCGTGAACCGGCCGAGTTGCATATTCTGGAGCTCTGCCGGTGCGGCTGTGAATTTGCTACGCGGTTATGACGCCGCATGAAGGTGTTATATGTCACTTCCTGTGTCCCCTATGTGGAGCTACATAGCACTTGCCGCTATGAATATAAATCGGTATTGGCGTGTAGATGTCTGCGGGGTGGGAGAGTTATCAAGCACGTAAAGTTTGTTTCAGATGTGACCATGTACACTGAACAATAATGTACCCACACAATAAAATAAATTCCTTTTATATTTCCCTGCCTTGTTGTTTATGTGTACATACAGAGGAAGAATGTGAGAACAGCACACATTTCATCGTTACTGTGTGTTAGAGCATGGGAGAACAGTGGATACTTTTAATACAGCCCACACCCCTAATACTGTGTAACTATAACAAGTAGAGAACAGAAGAAAAAGATGTTCTTTCTTTACAACTGTCTGCATAGCTTATTCATATTGTGTAATGAATGAAAATAAATAGGCCTACTAGGCTCCTCTCTACTTTGACATTTAAGATTAGCTTGTTTGATCCACCTTCATACACATGTGACATTACTGTACAACTTGAGAAAGGTGAGTTGTTTTCTGCTCCAGCCTGCCTAAAAGAAAAGCGTTTTGGGGATTAAATGGACTTTATTAGCTGCTGCAGTGCAGGATGAACTCAGAATAGACCCATTTCTCACCTTATTATTCTAAATCATGCAACGAAGAAGAAGAAATGCATAAGAAATCCTGGGACAAAATCTGTCCACAATTACTGTACAGCATTTAGTCTGATGATCAAGACTTGTGTTATAGCTGACTTGGGCAGTGAAATGTTTTTTTAATTCATCTGGTCATAGTTGTCCACAACTCAAATCAGAATATAAGAAGAAATGTTTTATACCACCTCAAGAAGGCTTCCTATCAGAAAGGTAGGAAGGTATTTCAAATGTACAACTGCAGTACTTAAATCTAAGTAAAGTAATTTCCCTGACATTTTTGTGTTACTTTACTTTTAATAGACCCATGTAAGAGGTTTTATACTTCCTGTGAGTATAATCCAATCAATCTTATTTTCATACTGTATATCCGTTGTGTAATTTATAAATTGTGTTGTATGTCGTGCTCGCATCTCAGAGAAGACTCTGACTGCAACATGCGTCTTTGTAAAGAGAGAAACAGACAGAAAAAGTCTCTAACTCTGCCTGTCAGCTCGCTCTGCTCCGTTAAAACTGAATTTACCATACAGAATTGAATACGAGTGCACTCCAGATTTAGCTGCAGCCAGCTGACCGTGTGCTTCTCCCTATACCGCAGTTCTGTGTCCATGCATGCAGCAAACTGAAAGCACTGTCTGTCGGTGCTTCTACGTGAAAAGAGAAGGAAGACATTGCTGGTAGTATTGTCTTCAGAGTTGTTAAACACCTCAGCGCACTGAAGGAAGCCATCTGACTGTGTGAGGGGCAAGATCGTTGATGTCTGCAGGCAGAGTAGGAGCTCTCCTGTCTGACTGGTCCACCAATAGCAGAGAAGATGACCACTTGAGACACAGCCCCTCCTCATTTGCATAATTAGGCAGAAATGCATACAAAAATTTAAAAAGACAGGCAGAAATAAATACCATGGGTGAAAATAAATAAGGTACATAAATACAAAGGAAGAATAAAACAGACAAAAATATTAAAACACACACATATAAATACATTAAAAAAATTAGTAATAAATAAAGTTGAATAAACAAATAAGGTAATTATAACAAAGGTGAATAAGTAAAGGCACTAATTAAAATATATACATTTATGTCTCCTTGTATAATTTAATTACTACCTACATTTATTTATTTACGTTATTTTTTGTGTATTTAATTGGATGCTTATTTATTTATTGAGCATTTATTTATTTCTGTATTTATTTCTGACTGTGTCAGGATCGGTCCTCCATAACGGGGTGGGAGAGTTATCAAGCACGTAAAGTTTGGTTCAGATGTGAGCATGTACACTGAAGTTACGACAACTTCCGTGTCATGGCGAAGAGTTGATCTTTGACGCCACGCCACGGACACGCCCATTTTACAAAATGTGTTCAGGGCGGGACTCTCATCCTACATGTACAGTTTGGTGCAGATGTGAGCATGTACACTGAAGTTACGACAACTTCCGTGTCATGGCGAAGAGTTGATCTTTGACGCCACGCCACGGACACGTCCATTGACGAAAACTTGCAAATAGCACAACTTTTCATCTTCAATGCCTTTAGAAGGCACAGCAGAAATTTGAGGTCGGTCGGACTAAATCCCTAGGAGGAGTTCGTTAAAGTACGAAGTGTGTAAATCATCCAAAATTTGACGTAAAATTCAAAATGGCCGACTTCCTGTTGGGTTTAGGCTATAGCTCCAAGAGACTTTTTTGTGCGTCTGGACAAGATACACGTACCACAGAAAATTCGTGCACGTAGGTGAAACGTGCGGCGGGGCTGCTTCGTTAAAAGTCACTTCCTGTTGCCAGCAGGTGGCGCTATGACTGTGGGTGAATGTCAGCATGTACATGTGTTCAGGGCGGGACTCTCATCCTACATGTACAGTTTGGTCCAGATGTGAGCATGTACACTGAAGTTACGACAACTTCCGTGTCATGGCGAAGAGTTGATTTTTGACGCCACGCCACGGACACGCCCATTGACGAAAACTTGCAAATAGCACAACTTTTCATCTTCAATGCCTTTAGAAGGCACAGCACAAATTTGAGGTCGGTCGGACTAAATCCCTAGGAGGAGTTCGTTAAAGTACGAAGTGTGTAAATCATCCAAAATTTGACGTAAAATTCAAAATGGCCGACTTCCTGTTGGATTTAGGGCATCGCTCCAAGAGACTTTTTTGTGCGTCTGGACAAGATACACGTACCACAGAAAATTCGTGCACGTAGGTGAAACATGCGGCGGGGGCTGCTTCGTTAAAGGTCACTTCCTGTTGCCAGCAGGTGGCGCTATGACTGTGGGTGAATGTCGGCATGTACATGTGTTCAGGGCGGGACTCTCATCCTACATGTACAGTTTGGTCCAGATGTGAGCATGTACACTGAAGTTACAACAACTTCCTGTTTCATGGCGAATCATCGACGCCACGGACACGCCCATTGACGAAAACGCGCAAATAGCACAACTTTTCATCGTCAATGCCTTTAGAAGGCACAGCAGAAATTTGACGTCGATCCGACTAAATCCCTAGGAGGAGTTCGTTAAAGTACGAAGTGTGTAAATCATCCAAGAATGGCCTTAAAATTCAAATAGCCGACTTCCTGTTGTATTTAGGCTATGTGTTCTTGAGGCTTTTTTGTGCGTCTTGACATGATACATGTCCCCAGAAAATTTCGTAGATGTAGGTTGAACGTGAACGAGGGGCTAATTTTTCCAATTTTCTAGGTGGCGCTAGCGAATCATTTTGCAACGCCCATGTGCGAAACTTGTAGAATACGAAATTTTTCACCGGTTCTGACATGTTTGCAAATTTTGGTGAGTTTTCGAGTATGTTTAGGCCATGTCATTTGGGCCTACTTTGCAGAAAAAAGAAAAAAAAAAAAAAAAAAAAAAAAAAAAAATAATCCGAGCAAATTCAATAGGGACCTCACACGGTCGTGCTCGGGCCCTAATAAAAATAATCCGAGCAAATTCAATAGGGACCTCACACGGTCGTGCTCGGGCCCTAATAACATTTTATTATTAGGCGCCTTTCTGAACACTCAAGGTCACCTCACAAAACAGTAAAGCAATAAATCGATAAAATTAACAACTATAATTACAGTGCATAAAATCAGGGTACAAGTATGTATTTCTATAATCTCCTATAATAATTTGAGTCACTGCTATCTGTTTTGTTTTCACCACCACATATATACATATGCGAAAATTGTTGGTATAGAAGGCACAGTCACAAAACAGCTGTCTTTGGTATGAAGCCAAAGTTTACATAACACTACATTTAAGCTCAGATCCAAGGAGAGAAATACTTGGTTGAGGACCAAGGGTGACGCCTGTTCCCAGCAACTTGACCTTTAAACCTTCTACACCGATACTGGCACCGGTGTCTGCTGCCAGACCGACTTTAGCTTTCACCGGACCAACAGAGGCTGAGGCGCTGGCCAGTTCTGCTTTGGCAAAGGCACCAAAAAAAGGAAGAGAGGCTCCGACTTCTGCGCCAACGCTGGGTGCTTTGGCCTCTGCCTCAATAATGTGACCAGCAGAGGCTGAAGCACTGCCTACTTCTGCTTTGGCACTGGCTGTAGCACCGAGGGACGTAACAGAAGCATCGGCTCCTGCGCTGGCGTTGGGCCCTTTGGCCTCAGCTTCAAAAATGCTCCATTCAGCACGAGCAAGACCCACTCCTGCACCAGCATACGCCCCTGCCTTGGGAAGGCGCTTCATAGATTTATTATTACCTCTTTCTGCATATGTGCCAGAATCTGTGTAGGTACCAACAGCAAATGAGTTACCACGCCTGTCAGCGGTGTCAATCATCTCCAGCATTTTGGGTATGGTGCCCAGTGCATCAAAAGAAACCTCTGCACTTCTTTGCACAACTGCATGGGCTGCAAACAAAGAGACACTACATTTAGTCTCAAAGAGGACTAGAGAACAACCTTACCAGTAGATTACATTCTAATGTGGAGTAGCAATTAGGATAATTGTTACAAAATTTGGACACAAAGACCATCTGATAAACTGCATTTCATTCACATTTTCTGAGTTGGAGTTGCTCAGGAGTTATCAAGCCTAAATGTTTCAATTCCATAAAAGTATTAGGTAGGATTCAGTATTTTGGCACTATTGTGAGATTTGTTATTGCTGAAAAATGTATTAAAATTTAAACTTCTCATGAAATCACACCTGTTTCTCAAAATATCAGCACTTAGAACAAAATCAGCTAAGTGGAGTAACACTTTGTTTGACATAAAACAATTTAAAAAGTACTTTACTTACCCTCAGCTCTAAGGTCTGAAAGAATGAAAAGGCAAACTTTAAGTCACATGATGTGTCAAATTCACAATGTTATAACATGTTAACAACAGACTTGACATTTTGACTTTAATGTGAACATTTGCTATATACAATGTTTGTATAGTGTGAAGATACTTTTCACACTGTTACAATCAAAAACAAAGGACATATTGTTTGTTTTCCTCCAATAAAATCTGGCAGCTCTTTGTTTCACTTTTAGTCACTGAAGTTACAAATTAACTAAATGTTTAGATAAAGTAATCTGTATCCTTAGAAGTCCTCAATACTCTGTATTTCTTAGAGGAAAGTATTGCACCTATTTTTCTGGATGATGTTTGCCTTCCTGCCATCTTCACAACAAGCAGGTTACTCTGAAAGAAAAACAGGAAATGTCAACAGCAGATTAGAACAATAGTTGTCTCAAGTGGAATAAAAATAGCAGTGGTAATATTCAGTATAGATCTACAGCAAAGTCATTTTATTATAGTTTATATTGTATTACACAAAAAGTTATTTGTTGATCAATGGTCAACCAGCAGGATTGTTTTAATGAACTGAGGCAGATTTGCTACATTAAAACAACAAAGACAAGATGTTCACAACATTTCATTGTTCTGTTTTTAATTAAGAAAGTATTAATTACTGATACATGCCATATAGATATATATATATACTGCGTGCTCTCAGCTTAACTGCTGGACTACACACACTGGAGTGTACCAAAGGGCAAACAAAACTGAAAGTTTAATCCCATTTGGTTATTCCCCAGCCCTCAGGCCCATATAGCAGAACCGTCTTGAACAAGCTGTTGTTACACCAACTAGGGGGGATGAATACCAGACTGTCAATAAGAAACTGAAAGTTTGAACACGTCAGAAAAAAGGGAGAGATTGGTTCATTGTTTACTTGTGCTCTTCCTGCAGGGAAAACCCTGTTAACCTTAGAAGCATCAGGTTTGGGAACCAACAGACAAGACAGAGATTCTGTTTCCTCTAGAGAGTTTCCTCTGTCCAGTCATGTCAAGTTTATAACTACATTGTTTTTATTTTGCTGCACGATATTTGATTTTAATTTACTGTGCACATGGAAACATTTAAAATGACTGACAGCAGCCTCTCTAATCATGAAAGTAAATCATTAAAGAAAACACTCCTACTCTATTAATCTAAATATAACATTAAAACACTGATGATGAGCACACATAGAGCACAAATAACTATTTTAGTCATTGCATTGGTTGCAATTTGGAATAGTTTTAAGATTTTCTTACTGCTATTTAAATCATTTAATGGCCTAGCACCAGCCTGAGAGACTCCAATTCTGTGGACATTTTTAAAAGAAACCATAAGAAATATATAGCCTGGCTTTAAGCCATGCCATTTGTTGTGTCAAAGTCTTAATCATTAGTTTCTCCATGTAATCTTTCATAAAGTATATGGTGAGAGCGCATAGTTAAACACTCCAGATAACAACCACTCTGACAAAACACTCAACACAGGACAAAATCTATCCCACAGCTACAAACAAATGGAAGAATTAATAGATAATTAGAACAGTTGTAACTGGAAAGAGTTCTTTAAAATTAAACATCATAAGATATGAGTGGAAAGTTTTGTTTTTGCAACTGCATTTCTAACATGCTTGGACTCAGACAAGTTAAATATTACTGTGGGTGTTGCCAGCACAACTAATTTAGCAATTTATTTTTTTGTACAGCACTAGGCACTTTTATTGGTTTCACTGCCCATGTTTATTACTCTACTCTGTCATTATTCACAGTTTTTATTAGTTAATTGAAACTGTCTGTCACATGACACTGAAAGTAAAATCTCAGGAAAACTATAGGCTTTATATTAACTCGCTTTGTGTGTGTGCGTGTGTGTGTGTGCGCTTTCTGGATTGAAGGAAGTGCTCGGCAGAGTCAAACATATCAAGCAACATACAAACTACTTTGTCTGCAGCTTTAAATGACATTTTTTCAAACGCTGCCACTCTAGCCCTCAAAAGCCCACTCTTGGATTGAAGGTACCCCTGCATTCCTCGACTCTCTCAGAATAATCTGTCTGGCTATCATGGAGCTAGTCTGGACCCAGCTTCTAGTGTGTTTATCTATCCCCACTAGGACTGACTCATCTCCTAAAACAAATAGTCTTGGGCTGAATGGCACCAATTAGACACAAGTTATCATGTATTCTGGTGTCCAACAATTTGGTGTGTCTCTTTAGTCTTATGTCTGTTTAGTGGTGTTTTGGTATATTCCTGATTTCAGTTCTGTTCCTATCTCATGCATTAGTTTCTGTACCATCAGGCTTGGGTTCTGTCTGTTTCCCAGGTGTCACTTTATGTTCTCTGCTAGTTTCATTAATCTGATTTTGATCATTCTGCTTTAGTCTCTGTGTAGCCTTGTTTATTATTTTATTCATCCGCATCTTTAAGTTTACTTAGTATCTGTTTTCTCTCTTATCTTAGTTCCTTGTTCTGTGTCTTAGTTCCCAGTCCTGTGCCTTAGTTCATGCCTCAAACTATATGCAAAGTAGCCAGTAACTCCAGCAGTCAGATAAATGTAGTGGAGTAGAAGTATAAAATAGGCTAAATTTAAATACTCAAAATGTACTCAATTGTACAAAAGTAAAAAATTACAGTGCTAAAAGATACATGTTCTTAGTTACTTTCCACCACAGCTTGTCACCCAGTAAAAAAACTCAGAAATACTAAAGATGAATGTTGGTGTGTGTATATTCTTATATGAATGCACAAATAAAGTGATTTCAAAAAAAGAGGTTTATTGTTGGCCTAGAAGGCACTGAACACAGTGACACAAACAGCTATATCTGGTATGAAGCCAAAGTTTACATGATGCTACATTCAACGCTAGAGCCAAGCACAGAAAAACTTGGCCTAGGACCCAGGGTGAAGCCAGTACCCAGCACTTTGACCTCTAGACCATCTGCACTGATGCCAGCACCAGTATCTACTGCCAGACCAACTGTAGCTTTCACCGGACCAGCAGAGGCTGAGGCGCTGGCCAGTTCTGCTTTGGCAAAGGCTTTGGCACCTGACGTCAGAGAGGCTGTGGCTCCTGCGCTGGCGTTGGGCCCTTTGGCCTCAGCATCAAAAACGCTCCATTCAGCACGAGCAAGGCCCACTCCTGCACCAGCATACGCCCCTGCTTTGGGAAGGCGCTTCATGGGTTTATCTTCAAATGCATCTGCATATGTCCCGGCACCTGCATAGGTACCAGCAGCATAAGCGTTACCAGGCCGGTCAAAAGTGTCAATCATCTCCAGCGCTCCAGCTGTACTAACAGAAACGTCTGATCTTGCCTGAAAGAAAAAGATGAGAAAAAAGTGGAACACAAATAATTATAAACATCTCTAGCAAATTATATTTTGTGTCATTATTTACATTTTATTACAGTAGGAAAAAAAGTATTTGTTCATCAAAGGTCATTCATCCTCCTCTGTGAGTCAGATTGGCCAGATTAAAGCAAGGCAGATTCAAGTAACAGCATTTTTCTGGACTGAATAAAAACATTTAAAATCAATTACTGATATATACTGCACCATTTGTTCTATATTGTAAAATACAAATCACCACAAAGCCTGTATACATGATCACTTACCATGGCTGGGATTGCTTGGTTTATAGGAGACGTTAGCTGCTGTGTTCTTTGTTTAACTGCAGGACTACACGAACTGGAGGGCTTAAATACCAGACAACATAACTGGAAGTTTTAGCAACACCTGAGGACAAAGGGGCACAATAAGGGGGCGGGGTCTAGGCTCATATATTCTCGACTATTAAAGTATAAAAAAGTAAAGATAGAAAGCAAAAACTCACAATAGGAATCCTCAACATATTTTAATTTTCCTCCATGAAGCACTTTGGGCTGCATGTTTGTATGAAATGTGCTCTATAAATAAAGTTGTGTTGAAGCGAGAAAACAGTGAGGAAGAGTGCACAGTTATAAATAACAACTACTCTGATAAAACACTAAACTCAGAATGAGTCAGAAAAGCAAGAGATTTCCCACAGACAGAAACAGATGAATGAAACAAATTAATATATAATTAGAATGAATTCTATTTCAAATCCAACATCTTAAGATGAAAAGTTTTGCATTTCTAATGCTTGGATTCAGTACTGTTTAATCATGTCATGTGATGTGCCTTTAAAAACAAACATTACTGGGACCTCTCCAGAAGACTGCAGATGTACATTTAATATCCAGGAATTTACATTATAAATGTATTTTCTGCTGGTCTGACAATCAAAAGTTTTCACCATCCCCAGAAAGCAAAAGTAAAATCTTCAGGGAAATTGTAGGCTTTACAATAAACCATAAATACCAACCCAGTTGCTTGATAATGGGATTTTCTGCCGTCTTTGGATCTGCCTTTTCTGGTTTTGACCTTTGCCTGCCTTGTGGTCCTGTTAAGCCTTCAGATGTTTTTGGAAATAAGTCATTGAACTGATCCTGTCTGCTTGTTTCTGTCTGGGTGCTGTCACTGTCACCTGTATTCACTGGCTGTTACCTGTCCTGTGTGGTTAAACAAATATTA